AAAAAAAAAAAAAAAAAAAAAAAAAAAAAAAAAAAAAAAAAGAGAGGGAGGGAGAGACAGAGCCAGGTTAAGGAAAAAGGGAGATTGTAAAAAAGAGAGACATGGAGGGGAGCAGCCACAAAATGCTCCAGAGCAGGGCAGGGCTTTTTGGGGGGGGGTGGGAGGGAAAGGAGGGGGCTGTACTTGAGGCAAATGGAAAGCACTAAAATTTCTCACAGGCTTGAATTAAGCCTGACCCACGACCCTTTTGGGGTCCAGAAAGTGTTGGGAAACTCTCTCTCTCTGGACTGAGCTCCTGCGACGCACCCGGGAAGTGGTGGGTGGGGATGGTTATTTTTCTACGTAACAGGTGCTATATAAATGCAAGCCTTTTTTTTTGAAACGCTACTTCACGGTCAATTCATGCTAACGGAGGTTAAAACGCAGTGACGGGGAGATCAGTCCAAGCGGCCGCCTTTTCTTTTTGCTGTTGAGCTCAGAAACCAGACTCGACGCTCAGACTGCGCCTGTTGACGTGCTCGACCTCGCCTGTGATGTAGTTATCGAAGTGGGTCTGGTACTTGGCCAACATCTTCAGGAGGGGCCGTACCCTCAGCCACCACTGCTCCTTTGGCATGCGGTGCCTGTCAAGGACACAGAGCATTCAGGAGTTAAACCTCTTTGCTGCAGCAGCAGCAGCAACAACAACAACATTGCAGCGGGCAAACTCCACTCCAAGGAGTTGGGAGCAAACGCAGAGTTTTACATCTGATCAGCGGAAGCACAGACTGTCCCCGTCAACCTTAATCGCCACCTCTGCCCACCAGCGCCCTCTGTTGGATACGCTCGGGAGGAGAGAAAGGCTTCAGAGGGCACGGGGAAACATTGACAGGTTAGTTCTGCTAAATAAACGCGTGTTTGCTTGCCGCAAAACAAAAAACAGAATGGGCCGTAACGCCATGGATGAACAAGCGGATGCTGTTTGGATAACGCGAGCTTTCTGCTGTCCGGGCGTAGCGGTTTTCTGAAGAAGGGTCCAGACCCGAAACGTCAGCTTTCCTGCTCCTCTGATGGTGCCTGGCCTGCTGTGTTCATCCAGCTCCACACCTTGTTACATGCGATTCTCCCTATAACGTGTTCTGCTACGGCGATTTTCTATAGCCCGAGGTCACACGAGAACGCAACTATGGTGTTATAGGAGAACTACCTGTCGGGGGACAGCTTGATGGACGTGGGTAGACGCGAGATGTTCTCCTGAAAAAGAGATCTGAGAACCGTGCCCGAAACCACAGGGATTTGGACAGCAGACAAGGGGAGAGGTTGTTTCCTCAGCAGGAAGGCCCAGAGAAAGAGGACGCGGATTTCAGGAGAAAGGCCATAAACGCGACCTGAGGCAAAATGTTTTTTTTTAAAGCCGTGTGTGGGGCAGCATCTGGAAGTGACAGAGACAGACCATATCACGGATTTCAACAGGGATCTGAACAATTACCTGAAGAGGAGAAGTATTTGCAGGACTATGGGGGAGAAAGGGCTGGGGAATGGGACCAGCAGCGTTGCTCTTACAGAGAGCTGGCCTGGTTCCAACAGGACCAGCAGCTTCCCAGTGTAACCATCCTCTGATGGTATGCTGGAATAGATGGATGGAATTTATTTTTTCTGCCGGATGATTCCAGAGCAAGAGTGAAGGGAGCTCATAGTGAAATCAGGAAGCAATTCTTGTTAGGGCAGTGGAACAGTTGAGAACTTTCTCCCAGTAAAGTTACTGAAGTTTTCTCTTGGATAACAAGGTGTAGAGCTGGATGAACACAGCAGGCCAAGCAGCACCATAGGAGCAGGAAAGCTGACGTTTTGGGCCTAGACCCTTCATCAGTTGTTGGATAGGAGTACTAAAGGGGTGTGGACCCAAGGTGAGTACTTGGCATGAGGACACAGATCGGCCAATAGCTAATGGAAAGGGAGTCCTTCTCTCACGTTCAGTGTCTTCTTCATCGGCATCCAATGCAGAGTTAGGGTTCAGGAATGGGCAGTCTGGTCCAATCATGTCTCCACATGCTGTCACACTGCGATGCTGCTTGGAGGACCAATTTGTGCTTTAGGAGGGCAATTCCAAACTCTGGTGCTCCCAGAGTGGGCAGGCCTGGCTCAGTGAATGTGGGCAGCACTGCTGTAAGCCCCATTGTAGCCTATGCCCTGAACGTGCCTTGTACAGCAGGACTGTGGGGGTGGGGGTGTCACATTTCTGGTGACTTCCACTGGCTGCGATGAACAATGAGGCCAGTGGGCTCCATTGTGCTATCTAGGCATTTTTGAGCACGACGCATTAATTTTGCTCCACAGCCATGCCCTCAGCTTCCTTGGCCCTGAGTTCTGGAATTCCCTCCTGGACAATCTCCTCTCCTCCTTTAAGGCACTCCTTAAAACGTAGCTCTTAGCCTCTTTAACCCAGCCTTTCATTAGTCCTAAGGTAAAATCTGTGTTATCTGTCACACTCGGGGGAATGGTGGGGGCCAGTTAATAGACTTGTGTTACTCCAGACACAAGACAAAGCTTTGAAGAGTGGAGAGGAAGCTCCTGGATAGGCAACAGTTCCACAACAGTAGGGCATCACAATAAAATCCCGACAACTGGCAGGATGACTTAGCAGTTTTTTAAAGAAAAATGAACAAGTTCTGATTTTACTGATCATTGTTCCTCTGAGCAGTATACCATCATTTAGGCAAAATAACCAAAACTGACCCAACAATATCTGCAGATTACAACCTACCGCTTTCATTATTAGTTTTATCCTTTGGAAAAACAAATTATCTGAGCACTAAACATAACTGGCTGTCTTTAAGGAAAAGAACAGGCTGTCAGAAATTCTGGTTACTAGAGAATATCAGTTTGTATGGTGCCAGATAACTCAAACTTTACTGTATGCAGTTTGGTGTGAAATTTTGCCTGGTTATACTCCTGTGAAAATACTAAATAAAAACCAAAAGAACTGCGGATGCTGTAAATCAGGAAAAACAAAACAGAAGTTGCTGGAAAAGCCCAGCAGGTCTGGCAGCATCTGTGAAGAAAAAAATCAGAGTTAACGTTCAGGTC